TGCCGCAGACAGCGCTGTCGGCCATCGAAGACGACCCCGAGGCTCTCGAAGACCACCCCGACGTCGCCGTCGACGTGCGTGCCGATCCCCGCCTCCGCCGCCGCGCGCCTGAACCGCTCGATCGAATCCTCGGCGCCGAGCCTGTCCCCGGCGATGGTCGTGAAGTTGTCCACGTAGACGCCGGAGACCGCCTGTCCGACCCGGAGGGCCGGGGCGGGTGTGCGCTCGCGCACGAGCGACCGCGGGCAGACCGCGCTCTTGCTGGCCAGGAAGGAGACGGCCTCGTTGGCCAGGTGCAACGCCCAGGACCACCCCATCGCCATACCGTGGAAGACGGGGTAGAGGGTGGCGGTCGAGTCGATGGGGACGTGCCTCCCGACGTCGTCGTCGTAGACGCTGGAGACGCCCCACTCGCCCGCGGCCCTAGGCATGTCGATCCCGAACCACGACCCGAGCTCCTCGACCAGCATCTGGTAGAAGCAGTCGTCGACGTCGCTGGTGCCGCCCCAGACCTCGGCCACGGGTCCGAAGCCGCCGAGGTCACGAAGGGCGGAGTCCGAAAGGTCGAGCTCGCAAAACCCGCCGACGGACCCCAGCTTTGTCTTGGGTGGTGCCCGATGGCACCGGTTGGCCTGCCTGGCGTCGATGATGAGCCTGATCCAAGCGGGGCCCTTTTTCTTGACGAAGAAGATCCCGATCTTGGCCTTGAGCTTGCGGCGGAAGCTGATGAGGTTCGCCTGCCGAAGCCGATCGATGAGAAAGAGAAGCCCATCCTGATCCCGAGCAAGCGTAGGATCCCAGTATGGCCGCGGGAAGTCACGCGCAGCCTGCAACTCCAGTATCTGCCCCGAGTCCCTCTCGATGCAGTGGGCGTAGTGTCGGATGAGGCCGGCCGCGTCGGGCGGTAAGAGCGACTTTGCGTCCTTGGCCACGGTCCCCGAGCGGCAAATCTTGAGCTTGTCGATGTCGTACTCGGCGAGATTCTTCGGCTCCTGCGAGTACAGGTCCCTGGACGCCGCGAGCTCCGCGAGGGCTCGACTCTCGTCCAGGTCTCGATGGGGGGGGGGCCGTGCGCCTTGACGCGCCGTGCAACGTGCTGAAGGACGTCGCATTGCAAGGGCGTGGCTCTCTCCCCTCCGTATCTCCTCGTACTTGAGACGCTCGAGAAAGAAGTAGTTGCGGCGGCGAGCTGGTTAAGAGATCTAACCGCTTCACACTCTCGCCGATGCCGATGCCGCTGTTCAAGCCGTCGCTGCCGAACGTATCGAGGAGCGCCGGGAGAAGCGGGCAGAGAAGAGGATGGCGCTGGGAGGGGAAAGAGCTCCCCGTGGCGCCGCTGTGCACGGAGTCGCCGTCGGACGGCAGCACCCCCGCGGTCAAAACTGGCGGCGGGGTCGGCCATGGAGCACGACCAACCCAGCCTGAAAAGGACCAACCACTGTGGTTGGCCCCCCGCTCCGCCTGACTTGTCGCCCTTGCCGTCGCCCCCCTGCTTGGGGCCTTTCGGCTTCCTCGGGCCTCTCGAGTCATCGCCATCACCTTTGCCACCGCGAGCTCGCTTCTCCTCCTGAGTTCGCTCCTCGCGCAAGAGCCGTGCCTGCTTGAGCGTCTGGGCGCGCTCGCCCTGCTTCTTGTAGACCCAGTCGCGGAAGGTCTTGCTGGAAGCAGCGCCACTCTCCGTCGTCGGCCCGCCGAGCACCAGGTCCAGACCTCCGTAGTCAGGGTGCTTCGCATTCCGCACCACAGCCATCTCGATCTGGACCTGGCGCCGAACCAACTGCTCGAAGCACGCCAGGTTCGGGATATTGAACTGATCCACCTGGTGGGCCAGCCTGAGCACCTCCGCGTTGTTCCTGTGCTCGTGGAGGGCCGCGGTGCCGTCGCCGACGCCGCTGTCCTGCCTCCACTCGCTCTCGTAAACGACCATCGAGCCAGGCCCATCGCGGATCGACTCGAGGTACTCCAGGGATGCTCGCGGCGGAGGGAACGGCCAGTCCTCAAAGCTGTCCTCTGTGAACAGCTGCACCGCGTCATGCAGCGCGAGGTTCCGCTTCCCATACTTGCGATGGATGCCGAGGATCCTCGAGTCGCTCTCGGTCTCCTCGCGCTTCTGCCCCCACTCGTCGACCTTGTCGGCCGCCACTCGCTCCACGAACCTTTTCTCGCCCAGCCAGTCGACCACCCCGAGCGCGCCCAGGGAAACGAACCTCTGGTCATCCTCCAACACCTCGACGGGGACCTCCTTGCCAAAATGGTCGTTCCCCGCCTCATACACCAGCCACTTGACTTCCTCGGCGTCCTCGAACTCCACGTCGCCGAGGATGGCAGCCTGCGCTCGGGCCTGGCGCTTGAGCTCGTCGAGCTGCGCCCGGCCAACGCCGTCGCCGTCGAAGACATAGCAGCGGGCCGCAAGGTCGGGCGGGAAAGCCTCCCTCCGACCGATGATGCGATGCCGCTGCACGTTGAGATCATGAATATGCATGCCCAGGTCGGGCGTGAGGCATACCCATCGGCCCCCAGCAACACGATACAGAAGAACGCGATGGTGCCACACAAGCCCGTTCTCGTCCTCTGGATAATGGACGAGGACCTGCGTCTCCTTGACATCAAGCGAGGGCATTCCGGCGCGAAGCCGGCGTGACAGGCCCCGAGCTGTCGGTCAAGACTGTGATCACCGACGCTGCTGGCGTGGATGATGACGCGTGGGTGGTGGGAGCCGGACGTCGTGGCCGTATGTGCGATACTCCACTGCCAACGGCGAGCCCGACCAGCAGCCCCGCGGCGCCAGAGACCAGAGTCACGAACGCCCCGACGAGGATGAGGTACCTGACAGGCTCGGGCGCCGGGCAGTTGCACTCGCAGTGCGCCGCTGGACAAGTCGGCCCGGTGCTTGTCGCACAAGTCAAGCTTGGGCACGTCGGACAGGGAGGGCAACTCGAGGCCAGAGAGGCGGTCCCCACGTGGAGACCGAGCGTGGTCAAATCCCGCGCGGCCGCGAGAAGTGTGGGGATCGGCTCGGCCAGCCAGGTCATGAGAGCTTGAGCACAATTATTAGCAACGGAACGTGCACGCCGAACGGGAAGGAGGAAAACACAATAATATTTCACATCTTCGAGGGGGACGTGGCGCAGGAGCAATACGCCGCGGAGATGGAGGCGGTGCTGGCCCGCCACCGCGGAGTGCAGTCGTGGTCGGGGGGGGAGGTCGTCGCTCAACCTTTCGTACGCCGACGGGCATGTCTCGCTGAGAGGGAAGCTGAAATGGCTCATCATCCTGCTGATGAGGCCGCGCTTGTTTCTCGGTAAGCAGTTTCACGCGAGGGACATGAGCTGGAATATGTCAGAGTGACATTCTACTGGCGAAGCTTTCGGCGACAAAACGCCAATCAAAAAATAAACGATTTCAGGCAAAAATGAGTGGCGTAGCGTTGGTAGAAGCCCACGACTGAGAACATCTTAGATGTTCTCAGTCGTGGGCCTGCTGCTCTCCGTGAAGTTGCGCTCCCTGAGGGCCGGCCGAACGATCGGCGCACCACTCGTCAGACCTCCGACGGTTCCCGGAGCCCCGCGGCCCATTCTCGCACGGGGTGCGGCGCCCCAGATCAACATGATGGGTGCTCGCGTCCTTTGGCGCTTGGTTCGTGTGTCGTTCTGCATGTGATAGGCGAGCCGGCAAAGGAGCACACGGTGCAACGCCATTCTCAGTTGTCTTCGCGGCGGCAGTCGGGCGGTGACTGGACCACTCACGAGCGATGTGCAGTGCCAGCGACAGTGGTGTTCGGGCGCTGCCCTCTCGGAGTGCGTCGTGGAGCCCCCTTCGCACGCTCGGGAGGGCGATGGATGGCGATAGGATGTCAAGTGACTTCCTCGAGGTCTGCCAGGGTCATTTCCAGGAGATTCCTTATGAGGAGGGTTCATAATGGGAGCAATGCAACGGCAAGCAAATACATCCCTTTACTTCAAGATACGTCCTCCCTGTCGCACCCCCATTTCGAAATGAGGATCTCCCTTGAAACTTCCTGAAACTGAAAGAAACTTCAACAGATGCAGTAGCTGCGCGGATGTAGGGCAGCACTTGTTCAAAAGGGGACTCTCGAATGAGACCTCCTCAACGCTACACGACCACAAGTGCACGCCCGTGCAACATTTACACGGATGGGGGCGTGATTTGTCAAAACGGGGATCTCGCTGGAAAGACGCTGAACTGTGTAATCATACATCCCTGACTACGCGCTGAAAGTATGCGAGGCACCTCCCTGTTAGAACGGGGCTCTCGCCTGAATGCCAGGATCATGGCTCATACGTCAACGAGGTGTTTCTTGCAAAGGAACGGCCTGCAGGGCCTGATGAGGAGGGGACTCCGACGGGGGCGTGCACTGTTGGGCTTGTTTTGGCCCTCCTCGATGCTCGATGCTGCGGGCGTGAAGATTGTACCGCGACGCTGCCCTGCCCCCCCCCTCCCCACCCAGTGACCTTCACCGCGGGGGGGAGCGGACAGACTGTAGATTGCAGTAGAAGAGGTAGCGCGCTGGTAGGGAGGGGCAAGGACAGAGATCGACAGCCCTCATCCACCCCCTGCCGGTCGACGACTGACGACAGAGACGGCGGCCCGCTGAATTGAGCAGGGACCGACCGTCCCGGCATTCCTATAGGCCTACGACGGAACGGAATGTTCTTAGGACCCAGAAATGCTCTAAGCTCTAAACACAAAAAATAATGTTCTTATAACATAAACCCGACGTGTTAAAACAAAACAATATCGGTCAGAATTGTTCTAAGAACATTTCGTGGAAACCACAAAAGGTTCTTAGAACATTATTTGGTGGGACTATGGGCGAGCCAGGACGCTTCGCCACTGCTCGACTGAACGACAAACACTGAACGGCGAACAGTGGACACTGAACGACAAGCGACGGACGAGGACGACGAGAGGCGCCGGCGGGCCAACGCGCGAGCGCGCGCAGCGGAGGGACGCCCTCGCTCGCAGCGGGAGCGTGCTGCCTCTGGGGAGCCGCTCGCCACGCTCTCGGCCCAGCTCTGGCAGGGCCACGAGGAGTAGCCTGGCGCCAGGTCCACGACGACGAGGGCGACGACGAAGGCGACGATGACGAGAGCAAGGACGGCGACGAGCGGTTCAGGGGACCGTGCAGCATAGGTCGACATCACCTAGCCGGCGGGGGAGCAAGAGACGATCAAGAGATTACCCAAAGACCATCGGACACATAACCCGGCAGAGTATTCTGCTGAGGGCGAAGACATCAATGCCGGGTCTGATCCCCCAACCGGCAAGTTCTCCGCAGCCGTCGAAACAGTTGAGAACTCCGCTTGGGGACATCAGTCACCAGAATGACGCAGGCGTCCTCGGTAAAAAGGGTGTATGTTGTATGTTACGGCAGCCACACCCCTCCCTGATTGATGGAAAAAAGACGGTCGTCATTCCATGAACAAGATGCGGAAGATATGTTCCTCCTCGCGCATACCGCTATGCCCCCCTCTTGCACGGGCATCCGCGGTGGAGCGACTGCATGCAATGAAATGTATCTCTGCATGTGCCAACCTACAGAAAAACAACTGGCTATAAATGCTCTGGCCTGGGGTCGTCTGACGAATGAGAGAAGCCTCTTTGGGGCTGCCGAAGGGCCCCAAGGGAGCTCCAAGATGGTGCCAAGGGCTCTCCAAGAGGTTCCCAGAGCGAAGCATCGGCAAAGCCATCCATGCTTGACTTAGGGAAGCGCGCTGCTACACACCCCGATAACGCCAACTCGTTTTTTCGGGATGGGCGAGTGAAGATAGACAAAGCGTCAAGAAGAATTCATCTGGTCCGCGAGCGTCTCGCGCATAGAGACGTTCCAGAATGGCCAATGCACCAAACAAGTAGGAAGATCCACAGGCACAATATGTGCGGCGATACACTCGGATTGCGATGTGGCAATCGGGGTCGGGGAAGATCGCGAACACTGCGAATATCCGTTTTTTGCCAGGTCACGAACACCTCAAGTTAGCAGTGCATCTGACGTCTCATTGCACTCGTGCAAGAGTTTCACGCATCCGAGGCACTGCCTTGCCGCGACAAAGACCCACCGACAACACACACAGACACACTGGGGGTAGAGAGGGGACGAGGTCGTCTGAGGCCCAGCGTCGGTGTTTAGAGAGCCGCCTGGCGACGAAGGTCGAACCGCACTAGAAGATCGCAACGGGGCCCCGTACCTCTCAGTGCGCGTTCCCATCTCTCTGGCAGTCCAAAAACAAGATCAAGATCCACATATAACAATAACAATTCACAACTTACAAAAAAAACATGAATTCCGAATTTTCTAAAGCTGGAAATTACACACAATTAAATAACAAACGACATTCAGCTGTGCGCAGAGCCTGCGTCCAGGCTGCCTTGCGGTGTGGCAGGAGCAGCGCCTTCACCGAACCCAGCAAGAGCAGCAGCGCCCGGGCCCCGCGCGTGCATCTACTGCCTCGCATTGACTTTTCCTGAGCTCCTGGATGTCAGTAGACGAGTGGGCCAGGCTCAATGGTAGTTGACTGGTTGTACAGTTTGCGGTGGGCCCCTACGTGCAACTCATCACTGAGGCCATCTTTTGAAACGCGTGCGAGGGGCACGTTTGGCTATATGACCCAAGGCCCGGCCCGCTTCCAGCTCTGTCAGTGCCAGCAGCGATAACCACATGGAAGTATCTCAAATAAGATCTTACCCCAGCTCGCCCCTCACTGATTGGAGCGAGGCTCCGGCAGGCCCATGGCCCGCGCTCGGTCGTTGGCGTCTCCGTGGAGCTCTGTGGTGGGGGCCAAGGCGTGGAGAGCCCAGGCGGTGACGGTCTCCTGCCGCGCCCTCGGCCCCCCTCCCCCCTCTCGGGGGGGACGAAGGAGTAAGATTGAAGGGGCCCTGGGACACACAAATAAATACACACACGTAACAGGATTCCCCATATGTTCATATATCTCTTGTTTGGAGCTTTGTCTTCCCCCCCCACTTCCCATACTTTCCTATATTTGCCTGGGGATCTACGATAAATTGTGCTTGTGTGTTTTTGCTTCCCTCCTGAAGGATAGCAGAGGGCGGGGTAGGGAACCAGCTCACTTAGCTGGTTTTCCTGTCGCTTCCTGGCGCCAGGCGGCGCCCATGTGTCGAGGAATGGGCCTGACGGCGGGGCGGAAACCAGCGGCGTGCAGCAAATATTGTAACTTTCCCTATCCTGCCCTATCCTGCCCTTTCGTGCGGCCCGACCCTCGCCGACCACCCCGAGAGACCCGAGAGACAGCGAACCACTGCTCAGGCCAGATTCACCAGCACCATTGCCTGGACAAGAAGAGCACCGCCTCCATCATCCACGGGTCGATCCGCCTTCCATGGACAGGGCCCTACACCCTCCCCCTTGCGGCCGCGTGTCCAACCGGCCGAACGCGCGTACAGGGGAACGACAAGGCGTCCAGCACGGACTTTGGCGGACCCCAGCAGGCGGAATGCTGGCCGCCCGGTCGCGCCGAGGGACCTCGCCCTCCCAAAATGGCCATGGGAGCGCCCCAGACGATAAACCACGGGGGAACTCTCCGCACTCCTCCTGCTGCTGCTTCCTCATCCTCCCTCCCCCCCCTCTGGCGAGGAGCCGATCTCTGGTGACCGCCGGAGGTCGCGGCACGTGTGCGCGTACACGCAGTTCTCCCAGTCGTGGGGCCCGCCTCTTGGAAACGGCCGAACGGGGATGCATGTGCCCAGCGGCGAGCCCAGGGGGAAAGGCAGAGGGGGCGGACTATCTCTGACGGCCTCAGGTCTTTTGTACACGTGTTTCAGCCTTCTCCAAAAGACAGCGACGGTTTCTCGAAGGCGCGAGGTTTCTGAGAAGCCCCGCCGCCGTCTGAGAAGGCCTGCCCCGTCTCGCTTCCCCCTCGGCGCGCCGCCGATGTGCGCGAACGGGCGCGAGAGGACCTCAATGTACACACGCAAGTTGGTCGGTCGGCCGAAGAGCTCAATGAACAGACGCCTCAGCTGCCCAACCTGCGGGACGCTGGGGCGCCTATACACCGAACCCCTGCGCCGAACTCGTTGGCTTTTTGGCCGACACGGCGTGGTGTAGACACCGAGCCCCTTCCGAAGGAGCGGGGAGAAAAAGAGGGGGGGCGACCAGTAAAACAAGTTCGGCCTTGCCTTGGCCTACCATCGCGAGGAGCGACGGCAGTGACGGAGGAGAAGGAAGTGGAGAGAGGAGGAGGAAGAAGAGGAGGAGGAGGAGGAGGAGGAAGAGGGAACGGAGCAGGAAGGGGAACAAAACCTGGGGGGGGCGGCGCTGTCCCTCCAACCGTTCGCTTGTTGAGACTCAGAAGGGCCTCCTGAGTCCCACGGAGGGCCTGGGATGCCCGTGAGCGTATGACCGTCTGAGTGTGAGCGAAGTCGCATGGGACCTGAACGTAAGTAGGTCTGAGTAGAAGTGGGCACAACACAATGCGTACACAAAAGCTGTCGGAATTCCGCGCGGATTTCGCGGAGCGCACCACGGGCGGCGCCGCAGGCGCTGCCAGCGGGATTCAGCGCCGATCCCAGAAATCCGCGCGTATGTGCTTGTCGTTGTTGCGTTCACAACCTCATTACTTATAGGACAGGATTCCCAGAAAAATCGCTTGACAAAAGCAGTGGGCTTCTTTTCAAAACTGGCAACTGAAACGTGCCGACCTGCGTTGGGGGATACGCGGATTCAGCTCTGACACCACCGCCTGCAACGAATCATGGCTCTCGCGTTGGCGCTGGTCTCGCGCCGTATGCAACGCGGACGGGCTACGCGTTGCTCTTGGTGAATCACTTGTTTGTTGCGCGCGCGTCATACCCGCCGCGCGCGTGCCAGCAGCGCGCGCTGGGCTCGTCTCGCGCCGCGGGCACGCGCGCGCCCTCCCGACGAGCGCACGCGCGCCTCGCGCTTCGCCCGCAGCGGAAGTGCGCGCGATGGCATCGGCGCGCGCATCTCCAGCGCGCGCCAGAGGCGCCGCGAGCCACGCGCGCGCGAAGGCATCAACGAGCCTTGTGGGCGCGCGGAACGCGCGACGACAAATCGCCCGACCAAACCGCGTGACATATTTGCCGCGTGGTCAGCCGCCCCTGTGAATTTACAATGCGGCTGCGCTTCCGCAATTGTTGCCGCACGTCGTCCAAAAGCAGTGTGTCGTCGCCGCTTCGGACCTTGTCGCGGCTCTGTGCCGCTGTCGGATTTTGTTGTCGGCCGTTTTTCTTTGTCGTTGGCAGTTTGTTGTTGTTGTTTGAACTTGTCGTCAACCTCCTGGATGTTGTCGCCGGACTTCTATTTGTCGTCGGCCCTTCTTTGTCGTCGACCTTTTTGTCGTCTGTTCTTTGTGGTGTCCTTCACGGTCGTATTCAAAGTCTTACTTGGGCTCTTCAACATGTTTGGCGTCCTTCGCGGCCGAATCCATCTTTCATGCCTGTCACGTTTCGCGCGCCCCCATCATCCCGTCATGAAACGATGTCCAAGCGTTGCCCATGGAAATTCGATTATTGGTCCTCGCCAGCCCCCATGAGAGACCGTGCGCAAAAGCTTGGGGGGGGCTCAACGCTAATAGCGCTTGAGACGCGTGACGGCCGCCACGGCTTCTTTCGTAAAAACAATGTGTGTGTGATCCAACAACATTTGTCGCTCGTCGTTTTGTGATCCTATGGAAATGGAGGGGGTGATTGTTCCTCCTGGAACCACGGCAGCACATCAGGGCCCTCTGATGCTGTCTTGGGCTGCGGAAGGTCCTCGGCGATCTACTGACCAAATTTTCTGCAAAACCGGGCCAGTCAGGATTGCAGGATCCTGCAAGACCCTGCAGTATCCTACATGCTAACCAGGGTCAGTGCAACCCTGGCTTTGCAGGGTCCTGCAAGATGCGGCGCTCTGGCTGCTTCCCGTTTGCATTGACCCGCGTCTCAAGGATCCCGAGGTCCGATGCCTGGGCGTTGCCCGCTTCCCGCGGCGGACGCCCTGCGTTGAAGTCCTGCACCGTCGCGTATCAAAGCGCGACGGTGGGCACGCACGGCAGCGCGACTCGGCAAGCACCTCGTTAGAGATCGGGCCCCTATGTTGCGGCGCGCACAGAGGGGTGGGGGGAGGGGGGACGGCTTCTTAGAAGCAGGGGTGCTTTGAAGAAGCCTTCCCCCTCGTGGCCGGACTATCTCTGCGATGAGCAGGCGCTTTGGGGTCGATGCTCCCCTGGGTGACCTGACGTCGCGCACCGCGTATGGGTGCGCGGTGATCTGCGCGCCCTCGCGCCGCCCCCCTGGAGAAGGGCAGCGCGCTGACCCAGTCCGCGACGCGCGAAGAGCGCGCGTCAGTGGGTGCATAGATGCAACGCGCGACTTGCACAGATCTACAGTCTATCACCGTACCGCAGCCCTTCAATCGCCCGCCTAGCCTCTCCGACCCCCTGGGCAAGCAAGCGCGGCCCACCGATTGGGCACCACTGTGTCTTGAACTTGTACGCGATGAACTCCTGATGGGAATGCGAGAGCGCCTGCCAAACTGTCTCCTGCCCCTGCTTTCAGCATGCCTTCGCAGGGCAGTTGTCAAACATTGCCATGACTTCCCCCTTCCTCCTCCCCCTGTATAATTCTCTAAGTCCAGCCCCTGCTGCTCCGATACGGCTGCAACTGTTTCTCTTCAGCCTATCCTCATCCTACATCATTATCCCTTCTAGATACCAACCCTCATCGCACCACCCCGCGTGCCGGTGGCAAATATATCATGGGGACCTGAGGCGATCTCAATAGTCTGACACAGGAAATAATGTCTTGCAACAGTGCGGTGGCTGCCACTGGACAACCGCAGAGAAAAGGACTTGGCACATATAGTTGTGCAAAACATCAAATGTTGTCCCAAACCGGCAGCGGCCGCTGTTGGCCAAGCGGCCTTCTGTCTCAATTGGACAACCTCCGCGGCGACACCGACAACGAGTCCTGTTGAGAATGAACAAGAACTGCTGTCGGTCTTCGTACCCCGTCTCGCCGTACGCATTGCGCTCGTGCCGAACATCGGAATATCCTTGCTGGGTGGAGCGCGCCGAGGGCGCGGTCGCGAGGAGCGTCCCCGCCGCGGGGAGCGGTGGGCAGCCTCTCTGGGAGGCCCCGGCGCCGCTCGGGCTTGAGCTAAGGGGGGGTGGGCGGCCCTGGCGTTCGCGGCGCCCGCTCGGGCTCCGTGCTGCCCGGGCGCCGGGGGTGTGCGCCCACGGGGACGAGGCAACCGCCGTGCCATCGGCCACCAAGGTCCTGCGCCGAGGCGCCAAGCCGCGCCAGCTTTCCGTGGTTGCGGCAGCCGTCGCCAGCCGCGCCGCGGAGCCGCGGCTGCTCCTGCGCCGGCGCGTGCAGCATCCTGTGTATTTGCACGGGTTTGGCGTCCAGGTGCAGGAAAGGGCAACGTGTGCATTACACATTAGAAAATTCAACACGTCAGAAAATCAGCGGAAACCTGAATTATCACCATGCAGATTACTTGCATGTTGAATGGTTTGCTTGTTTACTTTTGACCCCTGGGCCACTTGGTCGATCACACAAAGAATCAAACTGGAGTCTGCCACGCAAAAAAATCCGTTTGCAGGGCCGCAACCGCAAACACAACGCTGCAATCCGCTACAAAACAAATAAATTCACAATTTGCCACACAAATCATGAAATTGTAACAGGCCGCGAACATGAACTGGTGTATTTGTAGCCGGCCACAAAAGCAAAAACATGTAGCCCAACACCAAACAATTAGATTGCAAGTCGCCAGGGTACCACTTAACTTGCCATCGGGCCACCTCATAATCAATGTGTAGCCCACCAAAAGCGAATTCTAAGGCCGCCAAAACAAGATCCACCTTAAAAGTCTCCCACTCAGAGGAATCACGACCCGAGGCCACCGCAGAAGAAGAACACAAGAGCATGAACACCAGAAATGAAAAGGGAACAATCTGCATGAGGTGGGTAATGCAAAATCAACAGAAAGAAAAGTATCCGCGACCATGCCTGCTCGGAGAGGGCGTGTTAGCATGCTCCTGTGATCCCTCTGGGAGTTCTTTCCTTCTTATAAGGAAAATATGTTTTAAGGTCGACCGCCTCCCTGGTTCGTACGCGCACGCGTAGACCACCCCCACCGAAATCGCTCCCCAGCTCTTTCCGGCCTCCAGACGGCCAAGATGGCTTCAAATTTGGCCTCCAGACAGCCAAGACGGCACCAGAACGGCTCAAGAGGCTCTCAAGACGGCCTCAAGACAGCCTAAGAGGCGCCCACGACGGCCTCCAAGAGGCTCTCCAGGAGAGCCCGAGGAGGCATTCACCATTTGTTGTGTGTTGTAGGGTTTTGAGATTCTCGCCGAGTTGGGTCTCCAATCGCCCACGACGGCCCCCCCGAATGCCTCCAAGATAGCTCCAAGACGGTCCTCGACGCTCCCAAGAGGGCCTCAAATCGGCGCAAGAGAACCCAAGATCGCCCAAGAGGCTCCCGAGTGGGCCCCAAGCCGGCCCCAAAGAGTTCCAGGAGTGCACTAAGACGGCCAAGAGAGGCCCTCAAGAAGACCTTCGAAGACGTCAGACCGGCCAGAGCAACCACAGATAGCCCGAGAGGCCCCATGAGGCATCCAAGAGTGCTTTAAGAGGCTCTCCATGAGAGGACGAGGAGGCAAGCATCAGAGATGTTCATTGGGTAGTTGTGGGATTTTGCAGTTCTCGCCTGTCTGGGTCTCCGAGGTCTCCAGGATAGCTCCAAGACGGTCCGCGAGGCTCCCACAAGAGGGCCAAAAATCGGCCCAAGAGACCCCAAGATCGCCCAAGAGGCCCCCAAGTAAGCCCAACGGCGACCCTGAAGCGCCCCAAGAAGGCACCAAGACAGCCCAAAAGGGCACCCAAGACGGCCACCGATCGCGACACACGAGCAAAGAGCTCCTTAAGATGGCCCAGGAGGCCCGAAGATGCCCCCCGAGAGGCCACAGGAGGCTCCCAAGAGGCTCATAGGAAGCATACCAGGAGGCCCCCAAAAAGGGGCTCATGAGTCCTTCTCCTTTTCGTTTTCATGTTCTCAATATCCTTCTCCTCCTCCTCCGCCTCCTCCAGCTCCCCTTCCCTCCCCCTCCCCCTCTTCCTTCAGACCGCGAGGACGAAGACGGGTCGAAGTCACGCACTTGCCAGTTCAGACCAGTCGTCGGAATTGCGCTGGTCCTACACTACATGTCCTTCTTGTTGCGCTGTTGCACAGGCGCGATGGCGGGGTTTGCCGCATGCAGCTGGGTAGAGATTACCCGACGCGGAGATCCCATATGTACATCTCGTTTCCGAACACGTCCCGCTGTGAGTGCCTGGCTGTATACAGGTGTGACACCGACGACGACGACGACGACGATGTCGACGGCGGCGGCTATGATGATGGACAACGCTTACCAGGACAAACCTCACAGACAGACAGGTGGTGAGCAGGCCGTTCACCTCTCGTTCCTCGTCTCCTTCTTCGTACTCCATCCCTTATATTCCGCTGTCCTCCGTTCTCCATCCTTCTACTGAGTACGCCGCGTTACTCTTCCGTATTCCGTCATCTAGCCTGGCGGCTGTCCCTCTCACTTCTCGCGCGTCCTCCTCCTTCCTCCTCCTGGTCCTCTATCCTCTCTCCTCCACCGTCCTCCCTCCTCCATCCTCCCTTGCAAACGCCGCCCTCCTTGGCGTCCCCCTCCTCTCTCCAACCTCTTCTTACTCGCAGTACGTAGCCCCTCCCCTCTCTTCTTCCCTCCTACCTTCTCGCTCCTCCTTCGTCCTCCTCGTCCTCCTCCGTCGCAACCGTCATTCTCCTAACATCGAGGTGATCACGGAGCTCTGAATGGACAGGAGCCGGAGGTGCAAAACGAGCACCTCGGTCGAGACATCCTACCAATCTGGCCGCCAACGGACGAGTATCATACCCCATGGCGCCCCCGCCCCCCCTTGGGATGCTGAAGCCAGCGCCTCGCCTGAGACATCCTCCCGATCTGCTTTGAAAGCAGAAGGGTCTCGGGGCCGAAACAGGCTAACCGCCACGTCCCTTCGCTCTGGACGCGAACGGGCCGCTGGCGGCTTCCCCTTGGGGGTGCTGAAGCCAGCGCCTCGCCTGAGCGTCCTCACAATCTGCGCTGAAAGCCCAGGACTCTGGGCGAACAAGCAGACAAACCAGATGATGCATCCCAACGATCTGGGCCCCCCTTGGCGTGCTGAGGCCAGCGCCTCGCCTGAGACATCCTCCCAACATGCTCTGAAAGTCAAGGCGTCTGGGGGGGCGAAAAATGCAAACCGCCTGGGACATCTCCACAGTCTGGTCGCGAACGGGCCCGTTCGCCCCTGGCGGGCCCCCCCTGGAGTGCTGAAGCCAACGCATCGCCTGTGACATCCTCCCGATCTGCCCTGAAAGCAGAAAGGTGTGGTGATGGATTGCTCGTGCTGTTCTTCTGCTACGAGATGCCAGCTGGCGACCGCCCGCGCCTGTGCGAGAGTGCAGGCTGCAGCGACCTCTCGCGCATCCTGCCACCAAACATTGGCATCTTCGACGGCCTCAGCAGCACGTTTCCGTTCGACGGCGACGACACCGAACTCGGTCCAAGAGTTGAGCGGCAATCAGCGCCGCCACCACCACGCCCACTGGATGGCCATCATCCAGCACAAGCTCGGCAATAAGAACAACGCTCGCCATCACGATCTAGGTCTGGCAGATCACGCGACGCTGCCATCATCGAGATGGGCGCCAAGCAGCCACCTTAAGCACTTGGCGATGATCACCAAGAACGGCCACGAGTAGAGCCGCACCAAGACTACGACATGAATGGCAACATTGCCACCATCGGCAAGCATCAACCTGGATACCGGGAAGCTCAGGACGACGACGACACCTCCAGCATGAATGATCAAAATGCAAGCAGATCAAGACCGTGATCCAAGTCTAATCTCGACAACCGTCAGGAAATCCATAGTTCAAGAAACAGTCGAGGCCGACGTGCACCGAACAGTTCTAGTCACCGAAATCCCAAACAGGTTCGACCACAATCAGAACTGGACAGATCAAGACACACACATCACCATGAGTCAGCTGAGTCGTCTCGAGAGACCATGTCATACCCAGATCAACAACAAGAGCAGCCAACCTTGGACTAAGCAGCATCTGAACGTGGAGAGCTACCTCTACAATCGCTACTGAAAGAACAAGCAGCTCTCGAAGGTCAGCGAAGCGCTGACCGTTCACGACCACACGAATTGGACAAAACACGATATCCGCACAGGTCAGCTACGCCACCCACGGGAGTCTCCAGCACGAAGCGCGAGACCTCACGTGAGGCGTCTGTCCCTGTCAAGACGGAGAACACTGGCCCAACGTCGAGCTCAGCAAGACCAGGGCTCTCATCTTCGTCAGGGTCAGCACCGCCTACCTGATCTAGGACCAGTCATCAACCTCACGAACAAACTCTACCTGTTCTCGCACAGCAAAACACAAAATCCGAATGCGCAG